GAAATACAGTTGGAGGGTTTACTATAGATGAATACGAAGTATTTCAAATTTTGAAAAATATTTAACAGCTTTGCTATTGACTATAGTTATTATTAGCTAGAAACTATACCCACAACCAAAATATATATTATTTATTGCGGCCAATGCCGAAATTGAATTTGATTCCGACAAACAAAATGCCAACAAATGTCGACCAGAGTTATAACTAAGATTCGCCGTGATTTTTAACCTATTTTAATAAGAAATTTTAAAATTTGTGGGGCGAATTTTTTTTTGAGTAGGATAGAACTTTGGGTTAAAAAAGGTGTGTATGTGAATTTTAGTAGATGTGATGTAATAAATTAAATTATTCCACATATACCGCAAAGAAATTATTTTATGCTATAAATATTTTTTCTTATTTTATTTATGTACCTGAGTGCAATTTTAAATTTGGCTAAATTAAGATGGCCAAAATGTTAATTTTATTAATAAAATTAGTTAACTTTAAAAAGATATACCGTAAAAAAGACCCGAGTTTCTTACATTTCACAAACATTAAAACCTAGATTAGACCCGGGTCTAGTACATGGAGAATCTGATATCTGGGGATCTTATATACGGTAGCCTTATTAAATTTTAATTAACTGAAAAAAAAACTTTATAACTTTGTTCTTTATGTTTGATTTTTTTAAAAATCACGTATGTATTTTATTCATTGATTTAAGGGCTGTAATAAAAACAAAAGTAAGATCATACTTTAAAAAAAATTACTATTAAATATAAGTTATAAATTAAATACTAAAGCAGGCTGGCTTTAAATTAATTTTAACTAGTATTAAAATAAAATAATTTAAATGTAATAAGTACAAATAGAATTATTAAAGCTTATCTAATAATTATATTGTAAATTATATTATTTTTATGTAAGATACAACAACCGAATTAATTTACTACTCAGAAAAAAAAATTTTTTAGGTCGTGTGAATTATGCTATTCAAAAGAGTGCAATTATCTTATTAATAAGAAATATTTATTTTATTTAAAAATTATTTACTACATATTATAAACTCAAGTTCTGATTTAGCATTAATTTTAATAAGAAAATTTAAGCCTTTAAAATACAAAGCAAAAATACAAAGAAGAAAAGGTTTGCCATAATTATAGAATACTGTATTTCTCAGAAAAAAGCGAAATTTGCCATGATTATAGAATACAGTATTTCTCAGAAAATAAACACCCTTTTTTTACGCGTATTTTTTTGTATGTACTTTTTTGCGCGTACTTTTTTGCGCGTATTTTTTTGTATGTATTTTTTGTATGTACTTTTTTGCGCGTATTTTTTTGCGCGTATTTTTTTGTGTGTACTTTTTGCGCGTATTTTTTTGCGTGTATTTTTTTGCGCGTATTTTTTTGCATGTATTTTTTGCGCGTATTTTTTTGCGTGTATTTTTTTGCGCGTATTTTTTAGTGCGTATTTTTTTGTGCGTATTTTTTT